GAAATCTTCATAGACCACTATGTCGATTCTTCTCAGTGTGGTGTGGGGTTTAGGGCGAATCGGCAAAGTCAAAATGCATATGAAAAGCCATGTGAAGGAGTGGAGAGAAAATGGACTTGGAGTTGGGGTTAGACAAGTGAAAGAGCAAAAAATGGGCTTGTGCAATTGGGTTTGACAATGGACAACTAGACAATGTTTTGGATAATTTACAAAAAAAAAAAATCAGAATTTTTTGTGGGGTTAAATGACCACATGTGGGTCCGTTCATGGTCAACGGTGACCACGGTTGATAGAGTAAAAAGTTTCATTAGTCTCTGAACTTATCACACCATCACGTTATGGTCACTGAACTTCCTTTTGCTGCTGAACGGTCACTGAACTTACAAATTACCAAGTTGGTCCGGGATACTATCAGAAAATGAATTATTGCTGAGAAAAATATTAGCCAGTCCTTTCGGCAGAAGAGGCAGTTGGGAATCTAAATGGTTCTCTCTCAAATCCAACAGTTGTAAATTAGACAAATCACTCAAATCAGGTAATTTCCCCGAAAGCAAATTGTTGGACAAAACAACTTCAGTCAGTGTTGTTATTCTGGACACCGTAGAAGGAATTTGACCCTTGAACCTGTTGTCCTTTAAGCTTAAAACAGTGAGATTTGTTAGAAAATTAAGCCATTCGAGGATTGTATCATTGAAAAAATTCCCATCCAATGTAAAAGTCCAAATCTTCATCAATATAGATATCTCTAATGGAACAGTACCAAATATAAAATTTGAACTCATATCTAAAGCTTCAAGGGAATATAATCGATGAATTTTGTTAGGAAGTGGTCCCCAAATTCCCAAAGAGACTAAGCTGATAACCCTTAAGCTAGTTAACCTAGTAGGGTGGATAGAGTGGCGGATTTGTAAGTTCAATGACTATAACGTGACAATGTGATAAGTTCAATGACTAATGAAACTTTTTACTCCGTCCATCGTGGCACCGTTGACCCCGTCTGTTGCCACATGGAGTTCTGTCACGCCATGTGGGACATCTTCAAACGACTGGGTTGCTGAGTGATAGATGGAGTGGCGGATTTGTAAGTTTGGTGACCGATCATCAGCAAAAAAAAGTTCAGTGACTATAGCGTAACGGTGTGATAAGTTCAGTGACTAATGGAACTTTTTACTTCTAAACCCTAGCCACATGAAAACTGAGGAAATGAGGAAATACGTGTTAACGGCCTTTAAAATCAACCATATTTCAACTTTGGCATTTGACCAATAAATAGTAAAAAAAAGCCAATACCTCATTTTAAACAACTAAAAGGCAAAAATACCCCTCGCTCCTTTGAAGGGACGCACGAAACAACCAAAAATTTGAGAACCGACCACTCCAAAGCTAGAAAAAACCGACCATCACACCGACGGTTCCGACCACCACACCGACAAATCGACGTAACCGAGACCGGCACCGACAACCACAAAAAGGAATGTTAGTTTTTTTGCCTTAACAATCGACTTTTTTCATCATATATGCGTAGATCATCTTGAGTGTTAGTGATAGGGGTGAAATTTTGGTATTTGAATGTGTTAATAGCTCATTTTCAAACTTTTTATCGTCAAAAATGGCGATTCCCGACCATTTCCAGCGATGAAACCGACTGCCAAACAGCCGGTCACGCTACCGACTGTTAACAGCCGATTTTTTAAAGCCTGCATTGGGCCGGCCCAACAGCCCAAGCTAGTAACAAACTGGGTCGACTGTTAAGTCAACCCATATACTTTTTTTTTTTAATTTTGTTAACAATTTAATAAATCGAAAATTAAATAAATATTTCACGTAATTAAATAAAATTTATATAATTAAATAAATAGTTTTAATTTGATAATTACCAATATTAAATATTATATTTTAACAAATTAGCAAATTCTTATTTTTTTTTCTTAAATTTTTTAATAATTTAAAGTTATTTAATTAAGCCTCTGTTTGGTATCCATTCTTTTTTTCATTTTCATTCTTCTACTAATTTTCAACCACACATTCATCAATAAAATAATATTTTTCATCATATCAATAACTTTTCCTTCATTTTCAACCACAAAAAAGGTGTGGTTTGACACAAAAAATGCATTTTTTTCTAGAATAATGGCTACCAAACGGTGCCTAAATATTTGTTCTAAACTAATCTTTCATTTTCGAATGAAATTAAATAATATAATTATAAAATAATTAAATATGTAATTACGAAAATGAAATATTATTTTTTAACGTTTTAACAAATTCTTTTTTTTCCTTTTAATATTTGAATTAATTTAAAATTCTTTAATTAAATAGAATTTGTAAACTAATCTTTCATTTTCGAATGTACTAATTTTTTCCGTTTAGTTCTTACAATTCGATTCACTTAGTTTTCTGAGATTATGTTGTATTCCATTATATTATGTTCAATGTGCTAATATTTAAAAAAAAAAATTATAGCCTGGAGTATCACTTGGACATGACATTGAGACAAATGTCGGGTAAAGCTACTTGGAACGGTAGCGTGGCAGTTACACTGTTGTGTTGGAGCTTGCTGGATTAGCAGCATGCAGATATGCTTCGATGATCATTTCTTTGGCCCCCGTACGAGTTGAGAGATGTACAGTTCTCGGGGCAGATCCTCATTGCCCTTATGTATCAATTGCTGAGTCCAGTCGACGGCGATGCCCTCCACTTCGACCTCGGGGGCAAGGTCGCCATTTCTCCATGTTCGAGTTTTCCCTGATCATTGGGTTGGAGACCACAGGTGATGATGTAGCAGGCTGCACAACACTTACTTTGAGGGACAGGGGACTGTGCTGCTATCGAATCTGATGGACGCGATCAGGGGGCGTGACCCGATATGCGAGCCGAAGAGACTCACGCTGCCCTCGGATGCATCATTGGCGAGCATCCCCTAGCAGAAGGATATCCAACTAGAAAAAAGTTATCAGCTCTCATTGACGACCCCCAGGTGAGATAATACATTCGCGATTTATGTTGTGTGTAGCTCAAAAATATGAT